CCGCCCACTTCTCTTGGGTAATTCTCTCCCGGAATTTGAGGGGCCTTGTTTTCGACAGGCAAGCCAAGACTGCTTATGGGGTTATTCAGGGAGTCGGCAAAAAAGGAAAAAAAAACTCGGAGAGTGTTCCAATCTGGCTGAAACTTTGGGGAAAACTGGAGAAAACTATAGAAAACATTTTGCCAAAGTGTGGGGTCAAAATATCAACTTTGAAAATTTGTCTGAAATTCCAGCCAAATTTTCAAAGCCGATATATTGATTCCAAATTTTGGCAATATGTTTCCTATAGTTTTCTCCAGTTTTCCCCAAAGTTTCAGCCAGATTGGAACACTCCGAGTTTTCGCGGAGTTGTTTTCCTTTTTTGCCGATTCCCTGAATAACCCCATTAAAGACAAGTGAAAGGATTTTTCTTAGCCACGTCCTCACTAGAGTAACTCTCCATGGCGAGACCCGTGCAGGTAATTCTGTGCGCCTTTAACGTTGAAATGGGCGGAACGGAAGTGGATGGCAGAGTTTTCAGTTTTTTTCAAATTTAATTGTTTTCCGGTTCAGACTAACCTTGTACTTGTTTTTTCACACCCAACGTGGAGTAAACCGAGGTTTTCAGGTAAAAAGACGAAAAAAATGCCTCGGAACTCAACTGTGAAAAGTGTCGTGAGCGTACCGAAGACCGAATCATTTAAATTTATCAGCTTGTCTGACATCGAAGGAACTTTGATTTTGAAAACCAAAGAAGGAGATGAAGAGACCGTTTGCTGCAGGTTTATATCACTAGATATTATTTAGAGAACAAAAACATTTTAATTTTCAGAGGTGATTCCGAATCGAGCCAAGATTGTCGTAAGATTCTGAAGGAATTTTTCGATGTCCTCGACTCCAAACAAGTTGACCAACTCCGGCTTTTTGGGATCAAACACCGAATGTTCAATTTCTACAGAAGTTACAAAACAGAATTCGCAGTTGCCTCGATTTTTTTCGACCAGTCAACAGATCTTCAAGTGCTTTACGATATCATTCCAAAGTGCTCCATTTTGAAGCATGTTACTCTGAAAGGAACCACGAACTATTCTTGTGAGAAAGGAGTCAGTTCGATGGATCGAACCAAAATTTCAGAATTTTCTAATTTCAGTACTACATAGTTCGAGTTCACAACTCTGAAGCCATCCCTTTTGATTAAATGGATTTTGTTTATATCAGCCAATCTATTTTCACCAAGGACCCTGAAAATCCGAATGACCTCAAATTCTTTCCAACGGTTTGTCTGGATAGTGAATTTTCCAAAATTTTGAAGTTTTCCAGAAAATTCTTCTGAAACCGTTCCGTTACGATACTGATATTTTTGTTCGCTACCATTTGACTCCCATGGGCCTTGCCAATCTTACAAGCTCGATCGCTTCACAGGGAAACTTGTAACTATTGAAATAAGGAACACAATTTTTATGAGAATTTAGCTTCTACCAAAACGAGTGGCTGGTGTACAAAATGAATCGAAACTGCCAACTTTTCTGTAAAATCGGAATAAATGGTGTTTACTGCGTTGTCCTTCCAGCTGGGTCGGAATCTATTCCATCTACGGTTTGAATTTTTCTGCTCAGCACTGCCTAGCAAGACATTTTCAGCCACTCCAACGATTCGTCTGGAATAACGACGAGGTTGAAGTTGCTCAGCTGTTGAGCACTCCGGAAGAAGAAAAAGATAGAAAGAAATCTCCAATCGGTTGGAATTGTCTTCCGGACAAGATAAAGCTGTTGTGCATCGATAGAATGCACTTCAAGACAAGGTGAGGAAGGATTATTTATTTATATTTTAAATGTATTATTTTTAGAATTCATCTCCGAAGCACATGTCATACCGAGAAGAAATTGGTTGATTCGTCGACACCATATGCATTCAAGTTTGTTAAAGTTGAGCATTTAACATACACGGATGGCTCACAAACGATGAGTGTTGTTGCTCAGAATCCGAAAGAAACGCTCAATGTTCGTTCGGAACGTTGGTCAGTATTAATGTAGTTGGTTATCTCCACCAGAAACGCTTTCTTATATAGGGCGGAAAATGGAAAACACGACGCAGAAGCTTCCTTCGACTTGGTTATCTCTGCTGTTAAGAACATTCTCCACTTCTGCGAAACTGAAGCGCTTTGCTTGTACCCTGGTGCAAAAGAAGAAGGAATGAAACAGTTGCATGATGAATTGAAAGGCATTGTTCCCTTCAAGATCTCTACATTTTTCTCGATTGTGTTGAACCCCGAAATTCAGTTTTTCTTCATTGAAAACTGTAAAGTCGATCCAAACATGGTGTTTTTGAGAGTCACTAAACATTTTACTCCGAAGAAATATCTTGATGCTCCGAAGGTGAGTGTCCTTCTCTTCGGGGGTCCATTAGACATGTTTTTTTAGTTTCTCAACTCCAAGTGCTTGCAATTGCAACTTGATAAGCCAGGTGTAGATTTGTCCGGTGCTCTTCTTATGATCATTACGGCAAGCATCTCAGCTTCGTATCATAATGTTTACTATCCGAATTTTTCAGAAGTGGCTAGCAATGGACGTCGAGATCGATAAGAAAGTAGTCATTGCAGTTCCAGAGCGATACTTCAAACCAGAAATGGAAGTCCTGGCAAAAAAATTGTCCAAAAGAGTCATGTAATAATTTCACAATGTATTTAGTTGTTCAAAATAATATTGTTTCAGTTCTCAAACCGATGAATATATGCTTATTCGTACCAACGATGAAGCGAAACACATTCTCGTTTTTGATTACAACGACCATAACGACGTCAGCTACATTTGCTTTCGTGTGATCTCTTCGAAAATGGAGGAATCCGAATACGGTTTGTATGACAGGCCATGGCTTGATGATTGCGAGGTTATTGGCGATTTTGAGCAATGTGATGAAGAGGAAGAATACGAATACGATCCATCTTCCGGATACTGTTGTTCCTGAAATTCTAATTCTGTATTATCGCTGTCTGAAAAAATGAAGGTTAAGACGCAGAGAAAAAAGTCTGCGTCTCCAATTAATGTGTGCTATTTAGGCTCGTCGCTTCGATATCGCTACCGTATTCAAACTGCAAAAAATACTCTCTAACCTTCATTTTTTCAGACAGCGATAACAGCTTCGTAAGGATTTCCTTTTTAGTTTTATATATAAGCGTTGTTTAACCATTTTTTGGTCCATGTTCTTGTCCTCTGCAGAATACATAATGTTTTATTTGCTCCCGTCTAAAATTTTTTTGACTTCTCCGTTGAGAGTCACTGAATCCCAAAGTTTTAATAAATATTTGTATTATTTAGCTTGTTTTGGCTCCTACACATAATGTGAAACTGATGCCTAATTACAGTGTTTTTCTTATTTCTATTTTCTGAGGTTTCATGTGCTTGTGTTTGCACACTCAACGCACGGCGCGGAGGGTCTAGATTTGAAAGCAGTCTTCTCGCGCCAGTTTCCTATCGACGCGCCAACTATTAATGTATTGAACCTCTCACAATGTCTAAAATTCCTGTTGCCAAAAAAGGATTCAGATCGTGGCTCTCCACAAACGAAGGAAAACCATCGAAAAGTGTACTTTATGAGCAAAAGTATCAGATTCATCACGATCGTATAAGGTAATTGCTCCATAGCAACCAAACAATCCCGTACATAAATCAATGCGAGTTTTTAGAAACAAGGAGAACATGTCGGAAGGGGAAGGGCATTCTTCAAGCTTTGTTTCCATGGGTAATTTATCGATTTTCCTGCTTGAGAATCTTAATTTCTTCTGATTCAGTTAATCCGCAGCCAACCGCAGCAGATTACGAGAGGTACGACGCAGACAGAAGGCTCAAAGAGAAAGCGAGAGATATGCGCGTTGCACAACGTTCCGCGTCGTCATCTGCTCGGAATTCACTTTCAATGACTCCAGAACCAAAAGAATTGTCACCTAGCAGTGATCAATACTTCACTCCGAAACGCGAGAGCAGTAGTGGATTAGAAGACGAATTTGTGACACCGTCTACCTCGAAAAAAGACAGGCGGCAAAGGTCATCCGGAAGTAGAGACGTCACACCTTTGTCGACAAAACCGCCCAGATATAGTAGGAAAAATGAATACACAAAAGAAAATATGTATCTTGAATAATTCCAGTGTCTTCTGAAGAACACGCATACTATACAACATGTCTCAGTCGGAAGATGGAAGAGAACTTCACAAAAATGCATGACCTCGTTCTCAGTGGTCACACATTAGAAGAAGCTCGCAAACAGGCTATTGCCGAAACGACCAGCACAAATGATAGGAGTCCACGATCATCGGCACGACGATCATCAGTTGAAACTACAGTTATTGTTAATCGCAGCTCTTCTCAACCAGCTCCAATTGAGAAATTGAATTCGATTCCACTATTCTCACGAACATCATCTCCAGGACCATCTCGCTCCAATGATCCTCCTACCGTTCATACATCGTATGTGGATACATTGGTGGCGACTCATCGAATGCACATGCAATATGCGGATCGTGTTGTTGTGTCCGTTGAAAAGCAGATGACCAAGTTGGAAAGCATGAAGGTAGGTCTCTACTTTTAACGTGAACTTTGAATAACCTCGTTTGTTGTTTGGCAGCAGCCAACACACAGGATACCTATTACCTAGATTACTAGTGCTCAACTGTTTTACTAGTTCTGTTTTAAAGTTCTTGCAGAATCTGGCTTCATTGAGTCCAGCTGCAGAAGAAGTGAAGCGGAGGAGAATGGCTGCTGAAGCCCTCAGAAATTTGGTGGAAACGAATGAACAACGGGAGAAGAAGCTGGAAGTGGTTCGTGATTTGAAAGATCGGATTCGAAAGATCACAGACGTTCAACTGTCTACTCATCAATTGGTATCTAAGTAACGTTTCGAAACGCATCCACTTCTTTGGCATGATTTTCTTATTTCAGTCGTCCATTCAAAGGTGACCCATATAACGAAAGACTTTTGAAATCTCTTGATGGATGGACCTCACTTCCTTTTCACGAATTCGACGTTCAAACTGCACGAGAGCTGCACTTGTTGCAAAAAAAGATGTTGACTACAATCGAGAAATTCAAAAATGTGGCATCCCTTCATCGGAATAACAACAGTCGCTCTTTTAACACGGGTCGAAAAAGTATAGCTATGAAGGTACCTCTAGAAACTACGAATATTTTCCTCGAAAGTTATGCTTCAGATTATTCCATCTCAACATTCTACCGAAGCCTCGTCATCTGAACCTTCTCGTAATCCACCAAACCAATCAACCAGAGAAGCAGCAACACAAGTATCAGCAAGATTGGCGGATGTTGCCATGACTCAAACTAGTCCGAGAAAGGTTGGTGTCGAACCTCTCGATCTGTCGTCGCTAGAAAAAGCATCGCTGGAAAAACGACATTCATCGTCACAAACTACTCCGCCAAGACCTTCTGAAGATGCATCACAACAAACCGTTTTCACCGAACCAGTAGTCCAATCAGAAGCCGCCTGTGATGATACGTCAAAAACGGCAGCTCTTTCAATCACAACACCGACAATCCTTGACATAGACGAAATGCTCAACAGTATCCAACTTTATAACGAGAGTTTAGAGACAATCGACTCGTTTAGTCATTTCAAGTCCGACATCAGTTATCCATCAGTATCTTCAGAACCTTCTGTAGAGACAACCCCACGAAGTGGACGAGTTTCGTTAGATCCGGAGTCAGCGAGACGACTTTCCTCCGGATTATCTCAGTTGTTAGATAAGATTAAGAAAGATAATGAATCAGTTGAAGCGAAGATTGAACCTGAATCAGAAGCAGAAGTAGAAGTCAATACCGGAAATGTGTTTTCTCATCCTCCCCCTATCATCCAAGAAGATTCCCCATCAGCAGAGTCTGAAGTCAACTCATCAAATCAATCGCCACCTACCAACGAGGATTCCGAAGTAGAATTGAACTTGTGTGATCATGATGATACTCAATTCGAACATGAAATGGAAGAGCAAGAAGAACAGAGAAAGCTTCGCGAGAGTATTCAGACACCAACACCTCCTAAACCATCTGAAGAAAATTATGACGCAGTTGGATACGGTCAGAGTTATATCGATCCGGAAGATGAAGAAGATGAAACCAAGAAATTCACCAACAACGATGAATTTGAGAGAAGTTTGGAGGATGAGCAATCGGACTCAATGATTCGGGAGTTCAATGATAGCGCTGATGATTCAGGATTTCTACTTGACAACAAGGTTTTTTTCCAGTTTTCTAAGTTATCAAAAAGTAAAAATACGATCTTTTCAGCCGGCACCTCGCTTGAAATCTATCTTCGACAACGTCCCGACTTCTGATCTCCGCTCTGATACTCCACGGATTTCCAATGTGGCTAATGATTCAACATTTAATCATTTGGACATGGAAGAATACTGCCAGAAAGACTATCTTCCAGAGATTGGGCCTGTTATGATTCACAAAGCTATCGAACTACAAGGCGAAATTCGTGGTCTCGATTGGATATCTGCTCAGAATGTTTGGAAACCACCATCGTTCGAAGATATACAAATGGATTTTTACGACCATTTCGACTATTTCGACTCGTATTCTGTTCTTCTGTGGGGCGCAGTTGTGGATTTGATCAATGTAAACTATTTGAAGTTTGATAGAAAATTGACTGAGTCAGAAGAGAGAACGTTCGAGAAAGAAGCCCTCGACATGTTAGAAAAAGAGTTTGGTGTAGAATCCAAGAAAAATGAATGGAGTAAGGAAGTGAAGATGAGCAAGAAACTGGAAGGAATGATCCCATATGAAATCGATTATCGCTACGATATACGGAGAGGGCTTCCGGAAACTGAACGCCAAAAATATCAATGGCAACAAGTTCAAATGACAGTGATTGCTGATAGATTCCCGAAGAAGAAATTGGTAAGACCTCGGAAAATCATAAAATTTACTTATTTAACGTGATTACAGAGAGATGAGCTTGACGCCGTCTACAACTCGGAAAAGGAGAATTTGGGTGAAGTGGTCATATCTTCCGAACTGGAGCAAATGCTTGATTCACCGCAAAGAAGTATCAAGGAGAAAAATCCTCGAGTTTCCGATGTTTAGCATTTAAAATCAAACTAACGATATCCTGAGGCAAAAATATTAATTGTCATAACTATTCAATACTCTCACCTATGCTTTTTTGTATTTTTTAAATATCTTCACTATGATTAAATCATGCTTATAAAGCAAGTATTTGTTTTTTCTGTGTCGATTTTGATAAAGGCATCTATTTTTATCTGCGATATGACAGTGCTCAAAGCATTTCTCAACTTAAACAGCCTATTTGAAAAATTGAGATTGTTCCAAGGATGAATTTACAATACAGTCGCAGCTTTGAAATCATAGACGCTAACGACGGAAGCGTATTATGTGCAGATGAGATAAAAGAAAAGGTTAACCGAGTTATCACAGTTATCTCTAAAGCAGAAATACGGCAGTCGGATGTGGTTTATATCAATATAGACAGGGGATTCGATGTAGTGATAGCTCTCATTGCGTAAGCTGGCTTATAAGCAATATATCGAGCAATTCTAGATATTTCCAAAATTATTTTCAGATGTCTTCAACTGAAGCTCGCTTTCACGTTCTGCGAATCAAACGCATACATGTATAAAACTCATCCAAATCATCGAAAATTCAGAACCACTTTGATATTTGATGGGAAAGAAGTCACTCGAATAGCAGAGAATGAGAACGAAAACCATGATATTTGCTATGTTATCAATACTAGCGGAACATCTGGAAATGCCAAAAAACAAGTGGCTGTCCCATTGGAATGTATCAAAGTGAACATTGAACATTTTTGGTAATAATTGAAGAACATTGATTTGAAAATAATGAAAATATTATATTCCAGCACCATCTTCAATGTGACACCTTCTGACATAATACTCTTCTCAACATCTCTCCTTTTCGATCCATCAATTGTGGAACTATTCATGGCTTTCCACGCTGGATGCAGATTGCTCATAACTCCGGATATCTTCAGAAGTGAACCTCATCGAATGCAAAAGGCAATCGAAAAATACAAACCAACTATCGCTCAGTTTACTCCAACTGTGTTCGAAATGCTTCCGTCTCCGGATTCTTCGCTCTCTTCCACGTCATCTATTCGAATTCTTCTCATCGGCGGATCCCATTTTCCACTGTCTTATATCAATTCTGTCCGATGTTCTGATAACGCAACCCGGATTTTTAATGTGTACGGAGTTACAGAAGTTTCCTGTTGGGCCTCGTATTTCGAAATCGAAATTGGATGTAAGGAAGTGTTAATTGGAAAGGAAATTATGGGAACAACACTGGAAGTGGATGCCAATTATCAATTAACATTGGGTAGACCAAAATAAATATTGAAAAAAAAGAAAATTTATATTTCAGGTGGTCCTCGACAGTGTTATGTGAATGGAAATAAGGCGGAAAAACACGAAACAGGGGATCGAGTGGAAAAAACGAAAAATGGAGAATTGCGACTAGTTGGAAGAATGGATAGAATGGTCAAGCATCGAGGAGTCAGAGTCTGTCTAGATCAGCTCACCGAACTTATTCTTAAACAAAAACCATTGGCTCAATTGACCTACTCAATACATTTCAAAAATCGAGATCTTGTCATTTTTGTTACTGGAGCAAGTACGAGCAATGATGTCTCCTCGGTACTGGTTCAACTAGAAACTACCACTTCTGTGATGGTTCATATAATCCACGTGGAGAGTCTTCCGATCAATTCGAGTGGAAAAGTAGATGAGTACGAGTTGAGAAGGATATGTGAAGAAAGATTCAGTGTGTCACGAGGGGATATGGTTAAAAAGTTATTGAAGGAAAAACTTGGAGTGGTTCTAGATGATGTATTAGATCAAAGTTTCGTAGAAATCGGTGTGAATTCTCTACTGGCAGCTGAGATATCATTGTATTTTGGAGATGACCAGGAAAATGTAACACGAGAAATTTTGAACATTAAAACAACGATTCGGAAAATTCTGGAAACTTTTGGGACATCTTCTTGTTTTGTAGAAGAGGAAACAGGTCTACAAATCAGGGTATCAAAAAAGCAACAACCGAAAATGAAGTGGTCTGTGGATTTGGGAAAATGTATAGATGGAAATATTCTAGTGATTCGGTTAGTTCTTGGAATCGAAAATTTTGAAATACGGTTCAAATTATAGAAATGATCTGGTAGTTTGTGCATCTCATTCCGGAGTGATTGTTGCGATGAATCCTAAAAATGGTCTTTGCTTATGGAGAACAGAATGCAAAGTTCGATTTGAGTGCTCTCCAATTTTAGCAAATCGGCGAATTGTAATTGGTAAGAGGAATGTTTTTAAAACGGGCCACTGGCGGACGGTCGCCGGCCCCGGCCATAGTCTCCTTTAGAATCAATACTTGATAATCCACTAAATTCAATTTCACAGAGTTTGAAGAAGTTTGAAGAAAAAAATATACGTTTTGGACAACTTTATCTTGACTATGAACAAGGTTATAACCCATAAAGTGGTTGATCCGGGCCGGAAGGCCCGTCCGTCTGTAACTTTGTTCATAGACAAGATACAGTAGTTCAAATAATCACATTTTGAAGTACTTGTCGAGTTCTATCATATCCATTCTAGTTTCTCAAAAAGTACTGATTCTGAAAGAAGCTATGGCAGGGCCCACGGAGGTGCTCCAAAGACCCGCCAATGGCCCGTTTCATACAAAAGTAGATATTTTTAATGCATAAAATTAGTTTTTCAGGATCCAAGAATCATGGATTATTTTTCCTATGTCTGGAAACTGGGAAAATCCTCAAAGTCATAGATTTAGCAGTTCGTTCCACATGCACTTCCAATGAAAATATCATTTACTGCTCAACCAATGATGGATATTTTCATTCTATCGATCCAGAAAGTTTCTCCTTGATCTCTTATCAACAGATTGAACCAAACGGAGGTGGAACATCCGTTGGGCCTTTTATTTCTCCAGATGGCTCTGCAATTTTTGCAACAACGACCTCTGGATTATTTTCTAAAATTTTTTTCAAAATTACGGTATGCAAACTTCCAAAATTCGCCACTCCATTTAGAGTATTTAATTTTCAGAATCTCCATGTTTCTTTCCAAAAAAAATTTGGACCAATATTCTCGGAACCACTATTTCTAGAGGACAACACAGTTTTGGTAACATCGGTGAATGGAGTTTTAACAATTATAAATTCGGACTCTGGGGAAGAGAAGGTTCAAAAATTTAAAACCCAAAGCTTCTATCCTAGAGATTTTCAGGATTCGATATCATTGAAAAACGAGCATTGCTTCTGTGCTCCATTGAAAATCGGACCCAAAATCCTTGTTGCCACTCAGTCTGGAAAAATCATCCGTTTAGATATAAAACAGAAATTGAACATTTCGGATGTTTTTCGTTTCGATTTACCGGGAATCTCATTTGTCAAGACTCCAAAAATTCTGAATTTGTCTGAAAGTCATGCGGATCTAATGATGATTTCGAAAAATGGATGGCTGATTTTTGGAAGATTTCGTAACTTCGAATCATTTGAAAATGTGGCGGCGTTTCCTATTTCAAATAAAGAAGTTTTCACATCGCCGGAAGTTATTGAAGACGATGATAATGGGAAGATGATTCTGATTGCCGGAAGAGATGATTATTTGAGATCTTATTATTTTGAAGAAAACTACTTGTTTTAGCCAATAAACTGTTAATTTTATATTCTGCTCTCACACAAGAACTGAAACAGAAATGAAGCCAACATTTGTAAATGTGTGTTGTTTAACCCACGATACGGCTTCGGTTTTGTGAAGAATTTTCCGGAGGTCAGAAGACGACTTTTGAGCTGATTATCTCAAAACTAATGAATGAGAAAAGATCTCACTTTCAGACAGTACGTCACTTTTTAGCTTCATCCATTCATACAATTCCTTTTGAAAGTATTAGTTTTGAAGGTGAAAATCTCCCCCAATTCGGTTTTAAAGTAAGATTCCGATTTTAAAAGAACTATTCCAAACACCATACAACCTCTAATAGAACGACACCCGGATAGTCCACTGTGAGCCTATATATCTCACTTCCTGTGAAAGATATCAAAAAGTGGTTAACTAGTAAAATGTTTATCAGGATATCAGCAACATTTTACTAGTTAGCCACTTTTTGATATCTTTCACAGAAAATGAGATATATAGGCTCAAAGTGGACGATCCGGGTGTCGTTCTATTAGAGGGTTTACGGTATGTTTCGTTATGGCACGAGCATGAATATGTTTATATCGCGTTTCAATCCATTCGAAACTGATTTCTCGATTCCATTTCAATTCGACTCACAGAAACAGTTATATATATTTCAAAAAGATCAATCAATTCTTTGGGCGAAATACACCCACGATGTCTTGGCAATTCAAAATCATACGGATTTTTCCGAACATTCAGTTCATTGTGAAAAGGCTGTAACTCCAATTTATTCGTTGCATGGGATGTTTCGATTCGATTTGGATTTTAAATAATAAACTGTATAAATAATAGAAATTGCGTTCTTTTCACAGTCAGCGACTGTATTCATGTACATTCCAATTAGAAACCAAATGGAAAACTTGAAAAAGGAAGAAAATTGGTTTCCTTCACAAAAATTCTCTTCTTCTCATCTAAAAATTGGTTTTACTCGATGGTTTCATTTTCTCATTATAAAAAGTTGTATTTGGTTACCGTAAAACCTCTAATAGAACGACACCCGGATCGTCCACTTTGAGCCTATATATCTCATTTTCTGCAAAAGATATCAAAAAGTGTCTAACTAGTAAAATGTTGCTGATATCCTGATAAACATTTTACTAGTTAACCACTTTTTGATACCTTTCAGAAGAAGTGAGATATATAGGCTCAAAGTGGACGATCC